CTATCTATCTATCTATCTATCTATCTATCTATCTATCTATCTATCTATCTATCTATCTATCTATCTATCTATCTGTCTATCTGTCTATCTGTCTATCTGTCTATCTGTCTATCCGTCCGTCCGTCCGTCCGTCCGTCCGTCCGTCCGTCCGTCTGTCGAGCAGCACGGTGGCACAGATGGCGCATTTCAGCGAGTAGGTTGCTGGTTCAAATCCTGGCTGGGGGCCTTACAGGATAGAGTTTGCATGTTCTCTCTGTGCATGCATAGGTTTTCTCTGGGTACTCTGGTTTCCTCCCACAGAACAAAAATATGCATATAGGCTGATTGGTAACTATAAATAAATAAATATATTTATATATAGCTTGGGGCCTGTTGTGAAATTTGAAACAAATATGAATTATTAGGAATATATTAATTTGAACAGATATTTTTGGACAATGGAGCTTATTTAGCAAAAAAATATGGGTTTGAAACACGTATCAAATCTGTTATGTAATTCAGAAAAACGTATTAGTAGCAGCTTTTATTTCCCTGATTATGTGGTTCTCTAGAAAGTGTCCGATACATCAGTTTGTCTGTCACTCAGCACTAAAAGCTGTAACACTTCAGGGAAAAAGAACTACTGAGAGACTTTCAGTGGCACTTTTCTGGACCAGCATCCTGTTTACGAGCAGCTAAGTGTCAGTGATCCTATTAGAGACTTTTATTTAAAGAAAACCTTCAGTCTGTATGATGGGAATGTTTTATTGCTGTTTTATTTACAATAGAAATTAATTTCCCTTGTTTTTGTTTTTTACAGGTTGAGAAAGACCAAAAATTTATTCCATATGTTTGGACAGTCACAGTGAGTTTGCTTCAATAAAACTCCAGTTTGGGTCAATTGTTTCAGATATTTCTGTAAAAGTTGTCTGCTTCAACTATTTCTATTTTTTCCTTCTTCAGAGATGGAACAATGATTACATTTCCTGGGATCCAGATCAGTTTTGTGGAATTGATAACGTTTCGCTTCCTATTGAAATTTTGTGGAAGCCAGATCTCACTATAGAGGAGATGTAAGTGTAATGGCACCCGCATGTCCAGAACACCCAACCTTTAAAATCAACTGTTAGGCCTTAAAGAGCCCCCCAGTGTGCTCATTCTGAAAATAATAATGACTAATAAGTGTCGCCCTCATGAGAGTTTGATGAGCTCAGTTGACAAATAGTGTAGTCGATCCCTCGCACAGTTGTTAAACCTTTACACCCCTGTAGGGTGAATAATAACGACCCATAATTCATGAAGAATTTTGCCACAAACACAGAGCTGCTTCAGCTCTAACCTATAAACTCGTAAATATTCAAACTAGAAAAAAGAAGAAAGAAAATCACAAATGTCTTGTCTAGACAAACTAAATGCCTCTCAGACTGGCTTTCAAAAGTTGAATTATATTGTGATAGGATGTCTAAATCGAGGGCTAAAACTGCCAGATGAGAAAACCAGAATGTGTTTATAAAAACAAAGCTAAAACTGCCATGAATGGCACTAACAGTGGTGCCCTGTTAATTCGTCAGGTCGGGTGGGGTTCGGAAATGATGGCTACAGGCTGGGGCCGGGTCGGGAGGGAATTTTTGGGCCCGAATGCAACTCTAATATATATACAGCATCTTAAATTCAAATTCAGCTAAATCTGTCTAAAGAAGTATTTCTCTAGCAGTGGTCCAGAATATATACATATAATGTACATGCATATATGTATATATTTTTTTTCTCACTCGCTTTGAGCAAGACAAATGCATTTTCTTCCCTCTCCCATCTTCCTTCTGCTATTTTTGCTCTCTGTTTGCTCTCTATCGAAGCTTCTGTTTTACACATCTTCTGAATCGTCAATTACTGACATAGATCTGGTCAATTGGACTTTCAAAGCAAATTATAAACATTTTTCAACCAAGCGACCTGGAGAACCCTCATGCCCCACTGAGATGCACGCAGTTGGGTACGTCATGGATAAGTTGATGTGCCTTTCTGTATTGTATCAGGAGGATGCTGTGATGTTTATATCATTGGGTTTTTGATAGCAGGGTTTCTACTTGTTGGCACCCGCTATGTTATCGGCTATTAAAGAAGACGGCGGCAGCAGTTCTGGCCATGGCAAAGCTGCTGACCTTGTGTGAAGGTTTGGTTCGTGCTTTGAGCACTCAGACTCAGCTGATTACGAGCTAAACCATAAGATGGATGTGATTTGTGAGAATCGTAGGTCACTTGCGGCTTCTGGGACTCTCCAGCATGTTGGAGACCACCTTGGAGGGAGCTAATAAGCATGGACCAGTGGAATGCAGAAATATGGCCATTTTGGATCACTGAAAGTACCAGCAGAACTCAAAGCTGATGAGAAACAACAGTCTGCCTCAAAAAATTGACAGTTGTGGCTTATCTGAATCTGACTTCCCCCATTCAGCCTTGAAGCAGGACAACTTATCAAATTTATCCTGGGATATGTGTAAACTAAGGAGGCTCTGCTTTATCCGTCCCAAAAACAGTTCATATATTCAACAAAGTCAATTATAAATACTGTACATTTTTAACATTGCATATACAGTACCTATATATATACTATATATATAATTTAAATTAATTTTGTAGTCTAATTTAAATTTGGTATGCACATTGGTTTAGTGAATCATTAAAGGAGTATTGTATGCAATTTAACATTAAAACAATATAGTATTGTAACAGTATAGTACTGTATTAAAGGAATCCTTGTGACCTATAGACAGCCCTGTTTCAGGAGGTTAAGTGTACTTCTGAAATGTCCGTTTGATGCGCATGTATGTGTGTTTTCTGCAGGACGGAGAAGGACAAAGCTCCTCCAAGTCCTTTTCTCACCATCAACAACAGAGGAGAGGTGGAGGTTCAGAATGACCAGGTGTTAGTGAGCACCTGCAGGATGCACATTTACAACTTTCCCTTCGACATTCAAAGTTGTAACCTTACTTTCAAATCTGTCATACACACTGGTGAGAGCACCTTTGTAATGTACTTGACGTTGAGATGATATAAAAAATGTTTGGGCTCTGGTGTCCAAGTGTGATGGCATATAGCACAAAACATCCAATCTGATTTCTGAGACTTCACATTTTCAAGGTCTTACTGCCACTAATTCTCAAATAATTTAATTCAGTACTGGATAATTTTCTATCTGTTTTGTCTAAAACAACTTGTTTTTGTCTCCTCTCCAGCCAGGGACATCCGGCTGCAGCCAAGCGACAACTCTTCGGAGGCCACAGAGTGGTCTCGGGAGGTGATGCGGACCCAGTACGAGTGGCTGTTCATCAACATGACAGTCACATCCAACAATGCCAGCGATTTAAACGACCAAGATATTGTTGTTTATACCGTATGTATGACATGATGATGATGATGATGGCATGTATAAGTTTTGCTCTTTACTATACAATTTATTTATTGTCACTGCACCAAAGCACAACAAAATTACATTTCAGTATAGACAGTCCAAGAAAACATAAGGAAACAGACATGGGGAGACGGAGGTGTCTGAGGCCGTGGCCTTCGGGAGGCGCTGCCCTTTTAGTGTAGATAAGAAAAAGAGGGAGGGGAGGTGTAAAAAAAAGCATCATAACTTGCACTGTGTCCTAGATGGGACACATTGTGAAAGTTGCAAAAAAAGACCTCGGCACAGAAACAGCAACGTACTGATGACATCATAATACATTTATTAGGGTTCACAGGACAAACAGCAAAGCAGGAGGGAGGCAGGAGCGAGAGGGGAAGCGTCCGCCTTCATCAAGAGCAAACAGGAAAATTATGTTAGGAAGGAATTCACAACAGTTTGTTCTTGCTATATCAAATGATTTGTAACTAATGTTAAACAATAATCAATGTCAAATATATCCAATTCTCCTCTCTGACTGATTAAAATAAAAACTTTTTTTGCAAAACAACTTAGTTCATATGTGAAAAATAAACTCATATTTAGGTGTTTTCAGAATTTTAAGGACATTTGTTGTCATATCATACTTTACCCTGCTTGGATTATCTTTTTTTTCCTTCTTCATTTCATTTCAAACAGTTAACAACAAAACAACAACAACAAAACATAAATAAAAAGGTAAATATTTTTAACTAAATAGTCTGTAAACAAAACAAAAATGTTCAAAACCAGAGCAGGAAGAAGCAAAGGCTTATCCCGTCCTGTTCCTAAGTTTACATGCAGATTCTGAATTCAATAAATACATAAATACATACTTGCAGCATACACACAGACATGCATGCATAGCTATGCATAAATATACCTACACATACTGTTTATAAATATACCTGCAAATACAGATTTACTTTATATCATCAGATTAATGCTTAATATGCATACACATGGATTAACATCTTAACAGATGGATTAACATAATTTTGTCTCATTCGTTTTTATACAGTCATTTTGTAATCCTTGTATTTTCTCTTGAATTGTATAATAGTTTTACTTTGCTTAATCTCTTCATCTAAGGCAGGGGTGTCCAAAGTGTGGCCCGAGGGCCATTTGCGGCCCTTGGAGTGATTTTGTGCGGCCCACGACTGCAATTAAAGAATGGTTTACTTTTGATCCACAAGCTTAAGAGGTTGATGCAGATGTAGATCTTTTTTTATATTTGATAGTGATACTTTTTTAAATATAATTTTTAGATATAACAGCAAAAATTATGAAAATAATCTCCTCAAAATTAGCAAAATTAAGTACAATACAAACATTTAGTTATAATTAATCCCTTTTATCCTACAGCAAACGTTTACTGACCTACAAAATGTAGAATTTTGGATGATAATTCATAAAACTTGGCTAAATATAACAAGTTTTTTCAAAGAAAATGATTTCAGTTGCGTAAATAATCGATGGGGAGAAATTTGACATTTTTGAAGTAATATAAAGTATCATCGGCATACAAGTTGATCAACTTTATCTCCTTTTATAAATCTGTTTCAGCGACTGCCAGCTGTTTTTCAGAACTTTGATGACCCATTTGGGCCGTCCATGGTCCAAATGAAGGACTGAAGCTCCACCCCCTTTTTTAAAGAACAGTTACTCATTTTAGGTTTTTGTCTCTGAAAAAAAAAAATAATAAAAAACTTTCAAACCACAAAAAAACAAATAATTGTTTAAAAAAATCTAATAAATTAAATTCTTAAAAAAAAACTATTTTAATGTTTATGAGGCTCATAATGTTCTTGATCTACAAGAATTTAAACTAAAATTGATGGTGTTGAGATTTGTAGAGTGAATGAGGTAAGGTTTTTGGGTGTAATTATTGATGATAAACTGTCATTGAAACAACACATAAATTTTGTAAAAACTAAAATATCTAAGTCCATGGCAGTACTGTATAAAGTAAGGGACCTTTTGAATGATAATGCTTTGTGTTTGCTGTATAATACTTTTATAGTCCCGCATTTAATTTACTGTGTTGATGTTTGGGGAACAGCTTGTAAGACTATAACTAAGCCTATTTTTGTGTCACAGAAAAGTGCTATAAGAATTATAACAAGAAAACATTACTGTCATCCTACAACTACTTTATTTTATAAATTGAAATTACTTAAATTTTATGATCTGGTGGATTATAATATTCTCTTACTTATGTATAAAGCTCAGAATTATATACTATCCTCGAACATTCAAGCATATTTTGTGAAAAGGAAAAGTTATAATCTAAAGGGAACAGATATTTTTGTGAAACCAAAGTATAGGACTAGTTTAAAGGGTAGGTCTACTTCAATTCAGGGAATAGGTTTTTGGAATAGTTTGGATGATGATGTAAAAAAAATCAAAGTCAATGTTTATATTTAAGAAAAAGATTAAGAACATATTGTTGAATAGATACATATAGATTTAAGTTAGTTAATATCAAACGAAATACAAATGGAAAAATTGTGATCAGTTATGTAATTTTGTTGTATTATTTATAGATGATTATAGATTGAATTGATTGTTTGAATTGATTTTGTTTAAGAAGGGGCAGAAATAATAAGATTTTTTTTCTTCTTCTGCTGCCTTTCATTTTACGTTTTGTATTTTACTCTCTTGTTTTGAAATTGTTATTGTGTTTTTAATTTGAAATGAATAAATAAATTAAAATAAAATAAAAAATTAATTAAAATTAAAATTTTAACCTTTCTCCAAAATAGTATTCAAATTGTTAAAAATGAGGAGGAAAAAAAAAGTTTCTTAAATTCAGATTATTCTGGGCCGCGACACCTTTCAGACAGTTCTGGCCCACCTATGAAAATGTTTGGACACCCCTGATCTAAGCCATTCCACAAAATCACTCCACGAACTGATGTGCACATGCGTTTGAGTGCTGCAAACACAGGGTTGCTTTAAATGACACTTTCCTCTCAGTTCGTAACTTCCCTCTAAAATAAGTTTTGAATATTCTTTGGAAGCATATTATTTCTAGCTTTGAACATCAACTGTGCAGCTTTAAATTGTACCAAAGCTATAAATTTCATAAGCTGTGATTTAAAAAAACGTTGATTGGTGTGTTCATGATACCAAACGTGTATGATTCTTATTGCTCTTTTTTTGCATTATGCATATTTTTTGTAGAGGATTTTTATATTATCTCAAACTTCAACAGATTACAAACCTGAAATTTGACCATTTCCCATATTTTTGTCCAATGCTTGTTTAATTTTTAAGCATTTAAAATTCGATACTAATAACTTATCATAATTTAATGAATTCAAACTATAAATAAATCTCAAATATAAACTTTTGAAGTTATTTGTTTGTTTTTACACAGTTTTATTTTGCATTTGTTAAACCTGAAATGGGCTGCTTTTTGGATTTTCAGGAGAATCATGTCTTTAATCCTAATCCCCAGATCACCATGAGGCGGAGGTCTCTGCTCTACATCGTCAACTTCTTGCTGCCCGTCCTCTTCTTCTTGTGTCTGGACTTGGCCTCCTTCATGATCTCAGACAACGGGGGAGAAAAGCTCAGCTTCAAGGTCACGGTTCTGCTCGCCATCACGGTGTTGCAGCTCATCCTGAACGAAATTCTGCCTTCCTCCTCCAACAGGGTCCCACTCATAGGTACAGTACCAAAACATCGATGCAGATGGACCGCATGAACACAAGAATTACAGTTTGTTCACAGTAAATTGTGTTGTCTGCTCCCCTTAGCGGTTTACTGCATTGGCATTTTTACTCTGATGATGCTCAGCCTCCTGGAGACTATTCTGGTGATGTACCTTATAGAAAAAAACTCCCAAGACTGCGAAACGGATACAAACCAAAGTGCAATCCAGGAATCAAACAAAAAGAGTAAAGGCAACTTTCACAGCTGCCACACAGGTGAGACTTCCAGTTCAGTCCAAATACAAACGAGTGATTTGAGCAGTTTTGTAGAGTAGATCCACTCATTCATACTAAGAGCTGAAAAAATGAATAACTTGTAATGCAATATGTTATTATTTAAAGCAGCGGTGCCCAAAGTGGGGTCAAAGTTCAAAGCTGTCCTCATTATATTGAAATTTCCTTTGAAGAATCAATGTGTTTACACTCAGTCATTCCACCCACTGACTTTAATGTTAGATGGAAAAGTCAGCCCAATGATGGCACTACATGGCTTACACTGTGGAGTGGCCTGTTTGTATACATTTTTTTTATTATTTTAACAAGTAATATTTTTATATTTTATTTTGACAGACTTCCTGCCACTGAAAAACATTTTCTTTTGACAAGGCTGGATGCTCATGGCTGCCCATGGCTGTAACTATCATATTGTTGTTGTCTTCATTGGCTTAAAGAAAACAAACAAAAAAAAAAAATATATATATATAAGTACAAAATATAAAGGATCAGATAACAATAATGTGTACTATACAATAAACTTGTTATAAAATACAAAGGACTATTATAGACATAATCTAAACAATAACGTGAAGAGGAAGCAGCAAACTCATCCGACCAATAAAACCTAACTTCAGTGCATACGGGCGTTCCTCAGGGCTGGTCTGCTTTAGTGACTCAAACAGAAAAGAAATATGATAAAAAATGTTTCAGAAAATGTTTGTAGAGAATAAATCAATTTAATTAAGGAGAACATAAACTGGAGTCTCCTGAAATTTAAATATGTGGTTATTAAATTTAATTCTTATTAATGACTTGTTGTGATTGTTTCAAAATGTAAACAGAAAATAGTTGTTCCTTCTTAGTGTTGGAGCTACAGGCCTGCACACTGTAACACTCCTAACGGTGGCAGCAGAGATAAACGTTTATAAAGCTGTTTGATCAAATATACAACTAAACTATATTTAAAACACTCATTCCGCAATAATTGTAAAAGTTATTGTTAGTTTTTACAGTAACTTCTTCAGTGAGAAAACTTAAGTAACTGAGATAAAAGGAGAAATCAAAAACTTTGTATTATTAGGTTTACGGTTAATGTTAGTCAGTTTTAAGAGATTTTCACTTGGGGGATTTCATGTACCGTATTTTTTGGACTATAAGGCACAATTAAAATCCTTTAATTTTCTCAAAAATCAACAGTGAGCCTTATAATCCGGTGCGCCTTATGTATTAATTCTGGTTGTGCTGACCTCAAACTGATTTTATGTGATATAACTGAACACTGTTGAGAGTTATTGTGAATGAGTTGGATAAAGTTTGACTTATGTGACTGTTTTGTTTCGCTTAATGTGCCTTATAATCTGGTGCGCCTTATAATCTGAAAAATATGGTAAGATAAATTCTTCTGCTGCCCCCAGGAATGTTTGGGTCACTGCAAGCAGAAACTAAGAATAAATTATGTTTTAACTGCTGTGTTCCTCTTAAACCTTTAAATATTAAGATCAAACTAGTGTTAACATCACAACAAAGATTAATTTAATAATTAAAAAATCTGCCTTCCTGTTTAAAACGACTTTGAACTGATCACTCTGATTACACAAAATGAGTAAAAGCTCAAATATGAACTGGTTTCAATCTGACAAAACTTTATCTTTTATTATGCAGCATTTGTTAATTGTTTTCAATTTCTAATTCAAACTTTATCAGAGACTCATGAGTGGACTCAGGGGGGTTTCATCTACAACGTGCCTGCTGGTGAGGCTCCATCTGAGATGCTGCACGTTCCCAAAGAGGTAAGAAACTGGTTTGACCTGAAATCTTGTCCTGAGAGTGTGGCAGTCCTCCAGTCTGTAAACTGACGGCTCAAACCACTTTTCCAGGACAATACTGGCAAACAAATGGAGGAGTACCACACCTTGGAGAGGCTTTCAGAAGAGCTGAGGGCAGTGGAGAAAACTTTAACTCAGCTCTTCAAGGCCAAGGAGGCGGAGCCAGGGTATTGGTCCAGGGTGGCTAAAAAAGTCGACAAAGTTTTCTTGATTTTCTACATCACAGTGATCAGTGTGTTCTTGGTTGTGATGTTCTTCGAGTGGAACAGCGCTGAAGGGGAGTCTCTGCTGGATGGTTCTGTTTAAATACATTTTTACTTGTGTAGCGCCGAGAACTCGCCTGAAGCGACTTTACAGAGAAAAGTAAGAGTTAAGTTGAAGTTCTAAAAGCAAATATTACATTTATAGGAGGCCACTTCACAAACAAGTTTAACCTCTAATCTGGAGGAGTCCACGAGCAGCAAACAAAAACGAGGTACAGTAGTCCCTCGTTTATTATGGGGGATCCATACCCTGAAGACACGCGATAAATGAAAAACGGCGAAATAGGAATAGTAGTACAAGTAGTAGTTTATA